AGGGTCTGTGAATTGGGGACAGATCTTGCTCTTTGGACACATATGATAGCAATATTTGGGAAGTCTTTTTGTCTGTGTATCCTCAAATCAGTATTTGCTTCTGGCAACTGCCTGAATTAGTCCCAGCAATTTTTCTCAGCAAGATTTCAGAAGTGGTTTGCCCTTGCCTCCTTCCTAGAGTTGAGAGGCCTAAAGTCACTCAGCTGGTTCATACCAAATGCGAGACTAGAATTCCTTGTTTCCCATTTTCTAGCTTGGTGCCTTAATCACTACACCAAACTGGCTCTTTTGGAAAATCTACTTAAGGTATGCAATATTGCTTTTTGGTTTTACATGCCACTACATGAGTTGAACCACCTGTGCCCTCCAGATATTGATGAACTACAATTCCCAGCATTCATTGCCATTCATGGTTAATTACACTATTGGGAGCTATAGTTTAGTTTTAGTTTATTTAGTTTAGTTTATTTTGGATTTATATACCGCCCTACTCCCGAAGGACTCAGGGCGGTGAACAGCCAAAAATAAAACATATATAATATAAAATTTAAAAAACAATTTAAAACACATTAAATAAATTTGGCCCATACTGATTAAAACACCCGTTTTTTAAAAAAAAAACCAATTAAAATTAACAGTTAAAAGGAAGTTAGGCCAGGCCAGCCAGTTGGAATAAAAAGGTCTTGAGGGCACGGCGGAAAGTGCGTAAATCCGGGATCCTCCATATCTCCGGGGGGAGCTTGTTTCAAATGGCAGGTGCCCCCACAGAGAAGGCTCTCCCCCTGGGGGCCGCCAGTCGACACTGTTTGACCGACGGCACCCTGAGGAGCCCCTCTCTGTGGGAGCGTACTGGCCAGTGAGAGGCTACTGGTGGCAGAAGGCGGTCTCGTAAGTAGTTCAGCAATACCTGCATACCCCAACCCTGTTCAAATGTGTTCAAATATTTCGATGCTAAACACAGGAAAGTAGCACAGCTACTATCTATAGCAGTTCATAGACCCAGGGACGCGGTCATCTTCTCCTGCTTTTGAGAATTGAAAATAATTATTTTCATTATTTTCTTTAGGCTGCATGTGGTTCCAAGCAGGACATCTAAAGTAAAGGTGAAAGGCAGCTGTAACCTAGCAGTGATGAAGCAGCAGAAGTCATACTAGCAGAAAGGAAAGAGGAAAAGACTGACACAATCTGAGGAAGAAGCAGAGGAAGGCTGTGGAAAATAATGAAAAAAATCAAGGAGGTTTGCAGGTTGACCCAACTTGGCTGGCATGAAAGAAACAGAGTGCCAGCTTGGGAGATCTAGGGAAAGTTAGGCGAGGATTGGCTACAATGAAAATTTGTGGGTAATTGAACAAGTTACTTATCATTTAGCTATACCTATTTAATCTGCTGTGAAGTGTTTAATGACTAGCTGCACACATCATTTTTCCCTTAGGAAAAAAAATCTAGGAATGTTAACATTTCAAATGTCCCAGCTTGGCCATAAAGTTTGGAAATCTGCACTGTAATCTGCATTTGAGATTACAGCATAAAACAAATAGGGCTACATCAAAGATTAAATGCAAGGAACATTATACCCAGCAGAGGGCAAGAATACATTACAATATAAATATAAGCTAACATGCCTATGAGCTTGTAAATTATCTACTCTTTGACTGTTTTTCTTATGCAGGTAAATGAAATACATGGGAAGAGTATGGACACACATATAAGTAAGAATATTTACATATATGCAGGAGAAGTCAAGTCCTATGGTCAAAGATGCAATTTCATGTATATTATTTTAGTTAGAATAATATAAATGGGAATTGTACCTTTAACCATTCCAATGAACAGAAGGGTTAACTATATTTGAGTAGTCTAAATTTATAACACTCAGTGTAGTTTTCAATATCTCCTTGAGGGCATCTAATGGCCCTCTGAATCTCTGCAATTCAGATACAAAATTCCAAATGAATGACAGTACATTGTCATTTTATCATCACTTCTCCAAAACAGCAGACATTCTTGCAATTGAGGGTAATCTAATTCCAAATTTAATTATCCTCCTCCAGATGATTTGGACTACATAAAGTTCAAATGAATATGGCCAATAAGCAATGATTGAAGTTACCAGATAAAGGTATGATTTTCAAAAGCGTGTATCCAGAGTGCAATGCTTCCCTAATTTTATTATAGTGCTGCATATCCTCCAGTTTGCCCAGTGAGCTAGGGATCAAGCACTTAACCATCCTATCTGGGCAACATTACACCTGAAAATATTACTGTAGTTTAGAAAAATATTACTGTAACAAAGTGAAACAATAAAAATGTCATTACTATGCATCTGCCAGAAAAATCAATATTGTACTGAATATCTTGGATTCATAAATATACATATGCTTCAGGAGCACTTAGTTCCTTGAAACCCCATTTACACACTTCAGTAGCAGGTTCGGCTACCTAAGCAATATCAACAATAAACTGGGATGGGGAAGAGGATTTAGAAAATAATATTAAAACGTAATTGGGGCAGTGTATTTTTTCCTCAGTAAGAGTTTGAGTGCCTTGCTTAGATTCTGAAAGTGAAATAAGGAGGAAAGCAGCCTAACGCTTCTATGTTTACTGTTCAGTTTATAGATTTCAAGGACCTGGCATTTCACCAGATCTGGAATACACTTTTATTCAGTTCTTATTGCATAACAGGTTAGAAAGCACTATTTCAGGGGTGAAATCCGCTAGCGATGGAGGCAGGTGGTTCGGAGAACCGGTAGCAAAAATCCCTGCCCCCCCCATACCCAGCTGAGCCGCACAATCATCAGAGGCTTTTTTTTTAACTTTTAAAAGCATTTTTTTCTACAACCTCTTTGGCCGAAAAAATGCTTTTAAAAGTAAAAAAAAAAAAGCCTCTGATGATCGCGCGACTCAGCTGGGCTCCTTAAAGGCTTTTAAAAGCATTTTTTCTACAACCTCTTCAGAGGTTGTAGAAAAAATGCTTTTAAAAGCCTCTGAGGATCCCAGCTGAGTTGCCTGATCAGCAGAGCCTTTTTTTTAAAAAAATGCCTCTGCCGATCCAAGCTGAATTGCCTGTTCGCCAGAGGCATTTAAAAGAAAAATGCCTCTGCCGATAGGCAACTCAGCTGGGATCGTCGGAGCCTTTTGAAAGCATTTTTTTACAACCTCTTCGCCGAAGAGGTTGTAGAAAAATGGTTTTAAAAGTAAAAAAACAAACAAATTGGCCACGCCCACCCAGTCACATTAACACCCCCTCCCCCAAGCCATGCCCACAGAACCGGTAGTAACAAATTTTAGATTTCACCACTGCACTATTTCCAGAACAAGTCACTTCAGCAAGAATAGCCTAAAGACATTATTTTAGATTTAACTTCTGTGTAAAAATTATGATGTTGGATTGGGACAGGCTAAACAAAGAATTCAGGTGACTGTATCAAATGTAAAGAACAGGGGAAAAAACAGCAGACAAATAGGCAGAACTTGTGAAAAAATGGCATCCCATAATAAGTCCTAATGATTAAATTTAGTACTGATTCCATCTATAGCTTATCAGTAATGTCTGTAACAGAAAATAGATCAAGCTCTATGGGACTACTCAGTTTGGTTTATCTATGTTCTTCACTGGGCATTCATTGAGTAAATTTAAATCAGTTGACCTGGTAATAGGCACAGAATATTTGATCGGATTTTAATTTGGCTCATATCTAAATGGACATTTAAAAAAAGTCTGTAGAAACAAATGTAACATGGAAGAGGCCTTATGCTCATGGCATCTCTGGCACACCACTTTTAATATATGCTAACCTAGGCTCTTTTTCCCTCCTGTCTATAATATCACCATAATATTGCAAGACGCCTTGAATGCTTGTATAAATAGACAAGCCTGATATAAATCTAATAAATAAATATATTAGGAAATCTCAACACACTGTATTCAATAGCCAAGCTTGAACTAGAAGCCTCTTCACTTCTGTCAGACTTGGGGCACAAACCTCTGATTGCCCCTTTCTCCTAGTTGTATATTGGAAATGCAAAGGAAAACTATTCCCAAATAAAAACTATCTTCTGAAGGACAGGTAGTCTTTGCTTCTTGCCAGCAAGTTTCATGATTGCAATTGCTTAGCTTAAGTCAAGTGACACTTTGGCCCTTCTTTCTTGTTTTTAGTTTAGCCATTGAGAAAAATTGGAGACTAAATATCCCTGACAATCCAAATAACATATTTCTCTAAGAGTTAAGAACCAATTTGTACTACAAGGTTAAATAAAGGACAAGAAAATGAGGCAAGCTAAATCTGAATCAGTAATTATGGAGGCTACTGATCTGTCTAGATCCCTCTCTAAATAGAGATCAATTTTGGGTCACCTGGAAAGCTTTTGTTGTAGGAATTAGGGAGGAAAAATGGTGGCAAAGAGTAGGGTTGCCAGGTCTGCTTCCAAAAAATAGCGGACAAGCGGGGGGAGGGGGGGTGTTAAGTAGTAAAAAAAAAAAAAAAAATTACAATTAAATTATATATTTTCTTACAAACATTTTAACACATATTAAAATAATCACTTCAAAACTTTACTTAAAATTCAAAACATAAATATATTATAATATGTAAAATATTAAATTACATTTTACTTTGCTGTCGTGTGTATTTTTTATTTGACTGCGCAGCTTTGATCAATTCTTTGTGTTTAAGGAATAATTCTTTAATTTCAGTACAACGTTGAGAAATATTAAAAAATATACAATCATAAAGCTTTTGAATAAAAAAAATGTCCACTATTTTGTGGAAAAAAAATAGTGAACATAATGTGAAAAAAGCGGACTGTCCGCTCAAATAGTGGACACCTGGCAACCTTAGAAGAGGGAGGGGCACCACTACTAACAAGGAACCAAGCAGCTTTGCAGGAGGTTAATCCAAAAGAAATCAAGCAGTTTTGCAGATGTGTCATGCAAGATGCAACATCCTACGTAATCTGAATGAAATACAATATATATATACATATATATATATGTAAAGGAGTCAAGGGGGAAAAAAAGCAATTTATTAGTGCAGTCAGCACAATTGAACAATAAAACACAAAATGCAACCAATGATTTGGATACTGGCAGAAGACATGACAATTTCTATTGGATGTTTTAGAGCACAAGGAAAAGCGACAGCAGGACATTGAGGAGAAAGACAAGGTGTGTTAGGAGAACAACATTAAGAGATGCAGTTAGCTCAAGATGCAGTTATTAGGTTGGATTTAGCAGCTTTTTTTTTTCAAATTCCTGAGCAACAGGGACTCTTGATTAGAAGTAATCTTCAACAAATAAATCCCCTTTCAAAACATGCCATATTACAGACATGAACACAACCCATTCCACCCCTAAAACTGACCTGAATTTTGATGCACATTCCAAGTATTTTAACATGACTTACAAAGTGAAGTACTATTCAAGGAATTTTAAAGATACTGATAAGTAATAATTCACAGCACTAGAAACAGTTATCAGAGACAGACTTGGTTTCTAAAACAAAACTCTACCATCAAAGGGGTGTGGACGAGGAAGATGAGAGAGGAAGAGCATAAAGCAGTATGTCAGCAAAGATTAAAATGAAAGATTGCAGGAAATGAAGACCCAGCAGAGCTGAAAAATGATGCAAAACCTATCCATCAGATTTGCAAAGAAGTAAAGGCCACCAAACTGAGTCTTCAAAGCACAGGCATTTCCCATAAAAGAAAATCTGAAACAGCATCTGCCTGGCAAATGTTGAGAATTATTCACAATCTTTATTTGTACAAATGATGGAAGGAAAGGAGTTGCTTTTGTTAGGTGATTGAAACTGAACTATTGTATCTTCCTCCAGGGTCCCCCCTCTCTTCTCTTCCATAGAAGACGAGTTTGCCAGTAACCGACAGGAATGAGAGCTGTATTGCTATAACATTCTCCATCATGGGCTCATCATGTAATATTTAGGCCGCTTACTATTGCACATAATGAGAAAATTTCCCATGCTGCTTCTGGTGAGAGCACAAGGAGGTCTTCTCAAGCCGTTGTTCCCACTGAAGATTTCTGGAGCAATTTTTTAAAAATCCCAGACATCTGAAGAAGCAACTGTTTATATGACATGATCCAAATTCTGCACCATTGCAAACCTCTGATAGCAGAGCATTAAGAAAATCTGTATGAAACACTAGGAGAAGAAAGTCAAGACTGGTTTAAATGTTCCTAGTCAGAGAAGAATATTTAGCCAGTGTAACATATGAAAGGCGCTCAAAATGGACTGTATAGCAAAACACTTCAATCAGAGCAAGTTTAACTGCTCCTTTATCAATGCATTTATTCCTTGTCCTCAAGAACTCCAGCCGAAATGTTTTAAGCAATTAACAAATATTTAAAGCATTGGAAAGAAGTTGCTATATATATATAAACAGAAACTAAAGATGGCAAATAAATTAAATTTGACAGGTAAAACTAAATTTGAAGACATTCCTAGCTACTGTATTTTTAAAAAAAATAAAAGGAAAACATACAAGCACAAAAATAATACAAAAGACTAAACACAATCATCAAAATGTGAAAAAAGAAAATAAATACAGATAATGATTTTTCAAAATAGGCAATGTAACAAGACTAGATAAATCTGAGTCCATTCTCCTTTTTGTGTTTTCTTCAAAAGGTTATGAAGTTGATACAACTTTAAATGGCACATGCAATTTAGAGGGACCATTTCTGATCGGGTGGAGTGATGTGTACAATTGAAGGCTTGCTTCTTATTAGAAAGGAGAAGTCCGCAAAGCATCCAAGATGCTTCAGCAACCTTTCAAGAGCGTGGAGAAAACTGAGCTCCAGACTTCAGGAGAATCACTTTTCATCCTGCAGTGGTGGTAACAATGCTACAAAGCTAAACGATGTGACTTCCTTTGAAAACCAAGCCACAATAGGAAAGGACCGCTTCTTATACAATGTAAACACATCCAAAATGAGTTGCAGATTGTTCTCCAAATGACGCAGCTTTTTTGGCTCCACAAGACAGTTTAGATTGAAGGATCTACTGATGTATACATTTGGCATTACTTACAACTCCGACTTGGCATCTGCGTTCTCATGTTTTACTCGAAATCCCTCTCCACATAAAAACTAAAAACTTATCTTAAAAGTACTGTGTAAATCCCATCATTTCACAGAGATGCCTTAGACGAGAGAAGCCAAACGGACTTAGAAGTGGTGGGCTAAAATTCTTCAGAATAAACTTTTAGCTTCTCAAAATCTTAAGTCATGGTTTACAGATCCCAAACAGGAACCAGGCTATTCAGACCAATGCAGTCATATCAGGAGTTCAAAGACTTTATATAACTGAAGACCACAGCTCTTTCTGGAACAGGGAGGAATTTGTTGTGCTCCTTTGTAGACATTTGGAAATCTTTGTCAACATCAGACCAGGTCTAATGACCATAAGGAAAAGGGAGTGCAGCATGGCATTTTGCATAAATTCCTGGGCTTGTGCCCAGTATAATTAGGGAGTAGCATTTTATTCAACAAAGAGAGAAACGATGCCCTGATAACAGTACAACAGAACAGAATCAGTGGGCTTAGAGTTGGAGCCTCTCTCCCTCCCTCTCTCTCTCTCTCTATATATATATATATTCAAGCACGTTGTTTTATCATTTCTGTCGAGTCTTTAAATTTCCTCCACTCCATGTGCAAATATCATCACCAGGCCTGGCTCTAGCACCATCTCCTCTCCCATGTGCTGATTCTCACAGGCCATCACAACCACAGCTTGTTTGCCTGGGATGCGTTTGGCCACATAGTTTTCGTAATAGCGTCGGTTCATCTGGCGAGTTTCTAGGGTGGCCAAGCCTTGGGGCCAGTTCCGTTCATGGGCATTTTCAATCAATTCATTGATGATGGATGTGGGGCAGCCGCTTTCCACCAAGGAACGCTTGATCACAGCTTGGAGTACAGCATCTGGTGTAGAGATCATACCACCCCATCGGGTTACCCGGGCTGGCTGCAAGGAATTCACCCACCTAGGAGTCAAGTGAAAAGAAACAATCACACAATGAGGAAAGAAAAACAGATGAAACCAATAGCACTGCAATGAAAGCCTAGAGAGCAAGATTCCTTTTACTTTATTTCTGATCAAGTGGATCAAGATGGTTCCCTGCCAAACAATCATGATGAGTAATGTTCAGGTCTATTTGGACTACTCCCTGCATTAGGCACAATATATTATTTCTAACATAAAATGAAGACAATCTAGGAAACAGAAAGCCACCAGACAAATATTTCAAAATTTCACTTTAAAAAAACTATTTCCTCCAAACTTCATACAGTGATCTTGGAAATGTTTTGAAGCTTATTTTCTTTATGGCAGTCATGAAGAATCTGGATTCATCCAAGCACTCTTGATCCCCTAGTAAATCTAGCCTGCACAGCCACAGATGAGGAAGATGATCTACTGGATCTCCTGTTGAATCTCATAAGCTGTGATCTCTCTAGAACAATCTCTCATTCCTGTGGCTCTACATTGTGTAAGATGAGGCACCAGGACTTATCCTAAAATCACAGCTTCTGAGGTTTACTTTTAAGTCTGTCACATTATGAATCCTTCTAGCATTGCTCCCAATTCTATTTGTCCTAATTTGTTTGGGAATATATTTTTATCTACATAATCACTTGCACACCATCCATTTCCCAGGGTGGTTTACACAATCAGGCCCTTTTGAAATGAGAACAATGAAGCCTCAAATCTTAATTATTCTAACAATGGGATACCAAAGTGGTATCCATTGATAATCCAGACATGTTCTTTGGCATTGAACAGGATCTCCACTCCTTTGACTATTTTTTAACATTTAAAATATCTACATTTGTTCAGTATCTTTCGCATTCTTAACATTCCCGTGTCTCCATCAATTAGAACTTAGTCTATGTTCTAAGGCAGTGTTTCTCAACCTTGGTAGCTTGAAGATGGGTGGACTTCAACTCCCAGAATCCCCCAGCCGGCGCTGGGAGTTGAAGTCCACCCATCTTCAAGCTTCCAAGGTTGAGAAACACTGTTCTAAGGTCTGTAATTTCAAGATGGTAAGAGATCAATGCTTCAAAAGTAAAATCTGAACATGTTACCTTGACATTTGTAATTAATCTTAAATCAGTCCCAATTTATCTCCTTTATCATGCTGATAACAGCAGCAACCATCTAGTTAGTGGTCAAGCTACTGTAATGGCTCAGGAAATAAAGAGTTACCTGCTTATGATTTCTGAATTCATAATCTTAACAGGTTATCCAGCTCATTGAATATTTGGAGTTACCTCTTTATATTTGAAAGCTACTATTGTCCTGAGAAACAACTTCCAGAATTGGAAAAAGATAACCTATTCTTAGCTAGCATAATGGGAAGTGAGGGTGGAGGTTTGTTCTCTGAGCTTATGAGTTGGTTTCCAAATATTTCTTTATCAGGCTAGGTAACATCTTCCATGGAATTTAGGGGAGGTCGGTGTCCATGTTGTTCTGCTCATAAGAGCTTTGTGTGGTCAGTAGGTCTTGTGATAGTGAGGTCACATCAGGCGCGGGTTATGTCAAGTGAGGGTCTTGTGATGGGGATCACGTCAGGTGAGGGTCATTTGGAGGTGAAGTGCTGGCTGGGGGGTGGTAGGCATGGGTTGGTTAATGGTTGGTGCCGTCTTTGGTTGGCTGTGTGATTGGTTTGAATTCTGAGGGGTTCATAGGTTGGTTGTAGGTTGATGTGTCTGTTGATGGAGTTGCTTGTGGAGTGCCAGGCTTCAATAAACTCATGAGCGTGGCAGGTGGTAGCATGACCGATGATTCTTGTACTGCTCCAACTGAATTGGTGCGGTTCAGTGTCAGTGTGGGTAGAGATTAGGGATTGGGGATCGTGGCCTTTGGGAAGTATTATGGGCTCCTGAGTGCTTTCTGAGCTTGATTGTTTGCAGATGTTTCATCTTCATTCACCATAATGACAAGTATTACCTTGATTGCTATGTTTCAACAACTGTACTTGGTAGCATAACATATAAATGTACCCCATAATTTTTCCTACAGAAGTTTGCTCTAATTTTCAATAATTTCCCACCACTATTCGCTATTGCCTTTTCCCAGGTTTGAACCCCCACCACAACTCTTCCAGTCCAGCATGAGTGAAAGATTAGTACTTACTCAAGGATTTCATTATATTCAATAGTCTCCTCCAAATTCTGCAGGTTGGGATTGACACTACGTATTGCTCGCATGTACGCTTTTAACAACTGTATGTCCCGTTTCTGCAAAAATGGATATTACATTAATTTAACTAATAGGACCCAGAGGCTATCCTGCAGCAATAAAAAAAAATCCATAATATAGCTTAATTTATTACAGTGTTGTTATCACTAACATTTATTAATGCTCAACACTTTACACATTAACAGTGTGCAGCAATGCAGATTCAAAGAAGAAAGGGAGATTTGAACTGCACTGGGTGTCCTATCAGCAACTCCTTGAGCAAAGTCGCCTCTTTTCCCAGGCTTGGATTTGGGGTCCAAAAGAAGGCATATTTGATTCAAAAGGCTGCAGACAGGTTCTATGCAACTTCCTCCCCACGTATTAAATCATGTTTGAGTCTAGAATGTTGCACGATGTTAAAATACATGTCCAGGGAATCCAGGTCGTCCTTGACTTGCAACTATTCGTTTAGTGATTGTTTAAATTTACAACAACACAAAAAGGTGATTTACAACTGGTCCTCGCACTTACAACCATTGCAGTATCCCCATTGTCATGTGATCAAAATTTGGCAGCTGGCATGTATTTATGACGGTTGCAATGTCTTGGAGTCACACGACTGCCATTTGTGATCTTCCCAGCCGTCTTTTAGCAAGCAAAGTCAATGGGGTAAGCCTGATTCACTTAACAACCACCTAATTCACTTAACAACTACAGCGATTTCCTTAATTGTGGCAAAAAAGATCATAAAACTGGGCGCAACTCATTTAACAACTGCCTTTCTTAACCATGGAAATTCTAAACAATGGAACAATTGTGGTCATAAGTCAAGGATTATCTGTATAGGTAACTCTCAATTTACAACCATTTGTTTGGTGATCATTCAAAGTTACAACAGCATTGAAAAAAGTGACCTATAACTTGTTTTCACAGTTAACGACTGTTGCAGCATCCCTGTGGTTAAGTGATCAAAATTCAGATGCTTGGCAATTGTTTTTTTAAGTATATGGCACGTGTTAGCCAGGGATCACCAAAGTGGCTGGCTGCCTCTGTGAAAGGAAATTTTTTCGGGTGGTGTTATCTTACCCGCGGGATGCCTGAATGTCAGTAGGCATTCGGGGAAGGCTCCTTTCCTGTCCCTATGCGGTTTATTTGCTCACGGGAATCAAACCGCCGAGCTGCCGACCTCAGCGGAGCGCAGGTTCAGTGTCTTACCACGTGAGCCACCGCAGCATGTATTTATGACGGTTGCAGTGTCCTGGGGCCATATGATCATTTTTTGCGACCTTCTGACAATGGGGAAGCCAGATTCATCTAACAACCCTTCTACTAACTTAAGAACTGCAGTGATTCACGTTAACAACTGTGGCAAGAACCGTCATAAAATGGGGCAAAATGTAGTTAACAACTATCTTGCTTAGCAATGGAAATTGTGGTCATAAGTCGAGGACTCCCTGTATTCACAATTACGACATGTTTTCACTCCAGCACAAGCTGTACAAAGAAACTTTCTAAAAATACAGTCCCATTCTCATTCCTCTTGTTTAGAAAAGGTCAGTGGATCCTTTAAGCCACCTGGCCGTTTGACAAAGGAAAGAAAATGCAATACCTGCTCTGCTAATTGATGCTTATGTTCTGCGGACGTCTTTTCCAATTCAGCTATTCTTGTCTGTTGCTGCTGCACTACTGACCGTAAATGTTTTATACAGTTATGATTCGGCAATTCGTCTTTGGGCATTTCCAAGCTGCACAGAGAAGTAACTACAATTGAGTGCCTAGAAAAAAACTGTTTAGGTGGATAAGCAACCAAGAACAGAGGTAAAAAGACTCTAAGAAAACCGAGCCTGAAAATAACAACTCCCACGCTACCAGCTGCCAATACTGTGCAATTTGGGTACACCTGATGCATCACAAAAGCCATTTCACATTGACAAAACAAGACGGCACAATTATTGCTGCCCTCACTAATGTTTCCAGGTCATGCTGTCATGTGTGATCTTTATCATCAGACCAGCAGAGAATCATGACACGGCTGGGGTCACGATCAGACAGACACAAACAAATTTGGCAAATACTCACCCGCATCCCTGTTCACAGGTCACAGGCCGCTTTGGATTGTGTTCGCAGTCATTGAGGTGAGACATCAGGTTGTCAAGCCGCACTACAGCAGTGCAACCAAAAACAGCGTTGTCACACGTGATTTGCAGCTTAGATAGCATATTACGCATGATCCGGGGAACAGGGCGCAGGTGAGCCACAGTCACAACGCTTCGGTCGACGGGACACGTCTGCTGTTGGGAGAACCACTGGGTGATACAGGCATTGCAAAAAGCGTGCTCACAATGAGGCGCCTGTGTAGAGAACAGAACCAAGTATGCCAATTTAGATTACATCAAGTTTGCTGCTCAAGTTGACGTGGGCTCTTAGCCTTCCATGCAGCTCCTTTTCACTGAATGCTTTTCACTAACAGAATTGGAAATACTGCAGGACAGAACATCCATCGATCAATTAATGTAACCAAGCTATCAAGGGCATATGAAAACATCCGTTCATTCTGCTTGTCGTAGTGAGCACCTATCAGGGAAAAGATATAAAAATCACCCAGCATTAATTATTCACTGCCAGGTGTTAAATTTCTGTCCTTCGCAACGACCCTATTACAGATTACCCTGTATTGTGCCAATTCTGGATTAGTATATATAAGTATGAGAAAAGATACATAGTTACTTCCTTGTACAGTATTCCAATATACTCTCAAAGTACAGAAAAATCCCAAATGTACGTCCCAAAACAGATAGCACAAAGTCAACTATGCCTCTAAATATGGCATAGTTGTCATTCCAGCTGTTTTTCCAAGTACAATTTATTCACATGTTAATATACTTTATAAATGTAGTTCTTTGTCTCACAGCTCTACTTCCAAGTACTGTTGTTTGGAGGAAACGAAGATGATTAATTTCTAAAAGAGCTAAATCAGGCAAAGCTCTGGGACCAGATGGCCTACCAAGCGGATTCTATAACATTTTTGAAGATCAATTACTTCTTCCGATGAAGCACTTAATGAATTCTATTTTACAGGGGAATCTTATACCAGACTCTTGGAAGGATGCCTACATTTCTTTAATACCCAAAGATGGATTTAACTTCTGTGAAGAATTACAGGCCAATCCCGTTCCTTAATAATGACTCCAAATTCTTTACATCTATTCTAGCTGAAAGACTTAAATGTTTTACAGGATTATATACATGAAGACCAGTGTGGCTTCATATCTAAAAGACAAAAGTTAATATTAGAGTAATTTTGAATATAATTGAATATTTACAACAATGTAGTGACAAACAGGTTGCATTCATCTTTCTGTATGCAGAAAAAGCTTTTTGACAGTTTGAACTGGGCATTTATGTTTAAAGTGGTGGAAAAGATAGATTTTGGATTGGGCTTTATACAGGGTCTGAAGTCCATCTATGCACTCCAGAAAGCTCGAATCATGGTGAATGAAGACTTTACAAAACCAGTTCAAATTCAGAAGGGAACAAGGCAGTGGTGTTCTTTATCCCCTTTATTATTTATTCAATGTCGGAACTATTAAATAGAGATATTAGACAGGGTAACAGAGCAAAAGGACTACAATTAAAGCATATAATTACAGTATTTTCCTGAAAATTAAGACCCAACCAGAAAATAAGCCCTAGCATGATTTTTCAGGATGCTCGTAATATAAGCCCTACCAACAGAAAAAAGCCCCGGTTAAGATTTTCAGCCCTCGGGGGGTGGGGGAGAGATCATGGCTTGCACAAGAGGCAGCGAACGTGCAGGGCCAACAGTGTCTGGCATCAGCAGCAGCCTATCGGCCCCTTGGCTGGGGTTGCATAGCCCACGCAGCACAGGTGAATCTGAGCACTGTGACTGCAGGCCTGGCCCTCCAAGCAACAAGCGGAGGCAGAGGCACGGGGAGAGGCACATGATCTGACCTGCCGGATGCACTACGCAGCCGGCTGCCCACTCTGTCCCACCGTCTGTCTTTGCTTGCCTGCAGCTGCGATGGAGCAGGTGGCCGTGTGGCATATCCAGTGGGCCAGATTGCCTGCCTCTGCTTGGTAGCAGTGTTCAAAGTCACCTGAGCTGCGCACGCTGCACAGCTCCAGAGTGTGCTGGCCAAGGAGCCAGCGGGCTGCAGCCGGACACCATTGGCCCCCACATGCTCGTCACCTCTTGCACATCATGTGGTGATCTGCTTTATGACTATCACAACTTATCACAGTAAGTGGCAGGCTCCATTGCAGGTGTAATTCAAGAATCTGAAGTTCTCATACTACTTTCGGTTCTACAATAAGGTTCCTACAGTTTTTTCTTGGATTGTCTTAGGTTTTCCTTACACATATTGCTGCACTGAACACTCCTTTGCCAAGCTTGTGTTTATGCTCCCATGTGTGCCTAAAAGGAAGCTGCAGAAAATCAACCAGCTGAAAATCAGAAGACTACAAATTTAATAAAAGTATCTCTCTAATAACAGAGTCCAAATGTCTGTTTTCTTTTAAAGACAGAATGTAGCCACATAGCAAGACACTCATAAGAATTACATTGAGATAAGGACACCATCTTATCATAGCTAAACTACAAATATTACAGAGCAATATTAACTCATACAAAGCAATATTCTCATGATTTTAGTCTCTGTGATTTGCAATTCAGTTTTTAGCACATAAATTTTAACCAGGAACTGAAAAACTGGCAATGTCCCCTTTGAATCCCAAGTTTCAATCTTCAAGCATGTAAGATATCCTTTTTGATAAGAGTTATGTGAGGCTGCAATGCCCATCATCCTCACCTGGCTGAAGCTGCTTGTAACAATAGCCTGACATATTAAGAGGGTTTGATTGAGGAACCTGGTATAAACAATCCTGAGATAGACAAGACCAGTGGGCAAAATCAGTGGAACAAAAGAAATCTAATGTGATAGTTAAGACATAGTTCTGGGATCAGAAAAAACCAGATCCAAGTTCAGAAGCTCATTGATGACACTGAGCTAATTGCCGTTTTCAATCCAACCTGTCTCTCAAGGTGGTTGCTATGAGGAAGAGCTCCAAAAGAAAAAACGGGACATCATAAGGTTTCATAATATGATGAAGAAGAAAAAGAAGCATCCTGTGTTTCTATGAATGGGAGAAAATTCTTCAATGCCATTCATATCATGAAGAACAAATGTTAAAAATGTCCTAAGCATATCTAGGTTAAATAACCAGAATATTTTTCAGAATAAATATATATATGTATGTATGTATGTATGTATGTATGTATGTATATATAGCTGCGAAATTCTACATCCTCCCCACTAACATGCTTAATACTTGCTAAATGGAGTATCAGATTGCTGTCATCTAGTAATTACTATCAAATTACATTCTTATACTTGCACTATATAGGTCTTGAATTATGGTTTCACAGTACATTTTACAGCACTGTCGTAAAAACTATTCCTAAGCAAAAAGAAAATTAATAATGATACAGAAAGCACCATAAGATAGTAAAAAGAGTCAGATCAAGTTTACAGTAGAAAAGAACATATTATTTTATATAGTTTTTATCTTTTTAAGATTGTAAGTCACCTGGGTTACCTTATGGTAAAATGGGTGGCCAATAAATTTTACAAATATATAAATATTTACATTTAAGTCCCCTTTGCATGGAAAATTAGTTAATAATTCAGCTTTCCTTATGATCACAAACACTCCTTATAATAGCTAGTGATGATTGAACCTCAGCCATTTAATTATTTTTAATTTACCATACAAGATAGTTTTTTTTTTTTTACTTCGGCAAAGCAAAATTAATGTTATTAAAAAACTATTTACCTTTATGATTTCATTATTTGGCATCCAATTATTTGTCTTGCATAGATGGTTCATATGGCATTAAGCTGATGATAGCCAGAAGCAAAGATTAATATATACTTACAACTCCCAGACAGGAATTCCACATTGCTCATAAATTATGCTGGTATATTCAATTCTATGCTTACGGCAATGGAAACATTTGTTGTGTCACACTTGATCTTAGCCAAAAGGCCAATAAGCCAAAGCTGTCTCATACCACTCACTATATTATTTCCATTAACCTTACAGCACAAGACTTTCTAACACGTACTGAATGAACAGATTTTGAAGTATAGGTTAGACCACATAATACTGCAATAACCGAAGAACGCATCTAAGAAAAAAAATTGATCCATTCATGCAAAACGATCCTGAAGATATAGCTGAATTCTTAGTTGCTACAAGTAGAATGAAGTACCTCACCCTTCAATGATTCAATCACTATGATTTCTACTTCTTATAAAAATGAGAATAAAGGCTATAAAAATTCAGTAGGCAGGTTGTCCCTTAATGATGATCTGAAAATAGGCTTTATACAGTTCAAGCCGGATTTCATTTTCGTAATATATTGAAATACTGAAAAAATACTTTTTAAAACTGATGCTAGCTTAAAACCACTGAATCTTTTAAAATAATTATCAAAGAATAGAATAGTTTTATTTCTATAATATTTATTAAGTTCCTACACCATGTTTCATCCTGTATTTTGAACTATGTGTTAAAGCTACTTTAATCAGTTGCACGGGTGTAGCATGTAGAAATCTGCTTGATTATGGGATAAAATCTCCATGAAAAATACTCAAACACAGTCTAGATCTTTGTGCACTGAGTATCCTTAATATTACATAGAATATTTACACCAGTAATAATCTCAAAGGCGGTCTGAAAGACATTAACATAATCTATGAGTTTAACTAACATATCTACTCATGGATGAGACTGTCTTCCTGCGGGCTTTTTTCCCAAGCACCATTTTGGTTCTTACCTCTTTGTAGCCAATTTCTAGTGGAAATAGAACTGCCCGTGTCTGCAGATGCCACTAGAGCATTCAAGCACATTCAGTGCAAAAACGCAAATAGATCTGTTCTGCAGGAATGGGTACTTGATGCAGCTTTGCAAAAGTCATTTTGTTTTGGCTTGCCTTCTACTGAAGAGACCCACAAAATAAGTAATTTTAGACAGATATGCAATGTAGATAATTGCTATTTAGCCTCACTCTAAAACCATGAGGATAGGTAAGCTGTAGCTCATTGGCTACATGTAGCCTCCAGATCATTGTTATGTTGCCACAGTCTTCTGCTCCCACTTTCAAAATTTAGCTGCAACTTCTACAAAATTTAGCAATGTAATTGTCCAGGTGTTAAAAAAAAACCTCAAGCAAAATAAGCTTAATGCTTTTATTTTATGACACAACACAAACAAGAGGTCAATGTTTTCAACCCTGTCTCTTCCAAAAAGCCACATAAAAGCACATTTCTTGGCTAATTCTTTCTCATGCAGAAGTTACATATGTAAGGAGAACTAGTGGGGTAAAGAATAGTCCCTGCCAGTTCCCTGATGGAATGAGAAATATCAATAAAGCCTATTATGCGCGTACAGGTAGTCTCAGTTTACAAAAATTAGTTTAGTGACTGTTCAAAGTTACAATGGCAGTGAAAAAGGTGACTTATCACCGTTTTTCACACTTATGATCGTTACAGCATCCCCGTGATCATGTGATCAAAACTCAGATGCTTGACAACTGACTCACATTTATGATGGTTGCAATGTCCTGGGATCATGTGCTCACCTTTTGCAAGCTTCTAACCAGCAAAGTCAATGGGGAAGCCAGATTCACTTAACAACCATGTTACTAACTTAACAGTGATTCACCTAACTATGGCAAAAAGGTAATAAAATGGGACAAAATTCACTTAACAACTGCCTTGCTTAGCAACAAAAATGTTGAGCTCCATAATGGTCATAAGTACAGGACTACCTGTACAGTATCTATAACTGTGATGGCGAACCTATGGCATGCGTGCCAGAGGTGGCACACAGAGCCCTCTCTTCTGGTTTCCGGTGTGCAGCTGGTCTTCGCACGCACCAGAACGCCAGAAATCCGAAGATCAGGTGGCAGGTGCACATGCGTGTGCCGGCCACTTGGTGTTCAGGTTTCTGGTGCTCTGGTGCGCATGAAGACTAGCTGGCTGGTGTGCATGTGCATACCAGAAACCCAAAGACCAGGTGGCTGGCGCACACATGCGCACCGGCCACCTGATCTTCGGGTTCCTGGCGCTCCAGCGCACATGCACGTTCCGGTTTGAGCACTCGATGCCAAAAAGTTTCGCCATCACTGATATATAAGGTCACTGTATTTTGGTTGAATGCATATTGAGATTGAATATTATTGCAGCCACACAATGGCCCTATGGACACAGTGCAGTAATCCACAAGGCTTGGTTAGCAGAAGTATGCCCACAAACACTTTTTTCTAGGACACCACAGTTATCAAAGCAGCTGTCTGTGCTTTGCTTGCTGTTAAATTATTGCTTGCTAACAAGACAGATGCAGCTATGGCTAGAAGTACTGTACATCCTGTTTTTAAAGAAGTTGCTCAATTATAAACAGACAATATATGGGTGTTTCTATAGCTGTACTATGTGGAAGGGTGGGGGGGAGGAGGAGTCAGCAAGTGTATTCACACTCACTAACCTTTACAAATTACGGTAAATGTGGTCATGATTCTGCCAACAAATGTCATTTTTAAATCTGCAAAGCAAGCAAGCTATTCAAAACCATTTAGCTAAATCCATCTTTGCAAGGAAACCGTGCCCTTCCCGTCCACCCCCACTCCAAAATAAAGGAAGAAATCAATTGCTAAACTATTGATTAAAAAAAAAACCAGTACTAAGCTATACAGTAAAAAAAGGGTAAAAGTTTCCCTTGTCCAGTCATGTCCGACTCTAGGGCACAGTGCTCATCTGTTTCTTGGACGAGAGCGCCAGTGTTGTCCAAAGACATTTTCCATGGTCACGTGGCCAATATGGCTATATACCAAAAGTGCACAGAACACTATTACCTTCCCCCCTGAAGTGGTACCTATTAATCTACTCGCATTTGCATGCTTTCAAACTGCTAGGTGGGCAGGACCTGGGACAAGGAACAGAAGTTCATCCCGTTGCACGACAGTCAGATCTCAAACCTGGGCTGTCACCTTTTCAGCTGATAAGCTCAGCACCTTTAACGACAGTTCTTAAGGTTAATTCATTTATCATTTATTTGCATGCTGCAAATACATATGTATTTCTCCATCTATTCTAGAAATAACGTTCCTTCTGAAGACATGTGCAGAGTGGAAAAGCTAGTCAAATCACAGACTCATTCTATACAAAATGGTTTGTTCTTTAATCCTTTTAGATCCATTACTACCGGTATTAACCAATTCAGTCTTGCAAAATCACATGCCTTTGGAGTGGAGTGGTTTAGAAATTGCTTTGAGTAGCCATTTTATTTCTGAACTTCTAAATATAATACAATGCACTTGACAGGAAGGAAAGTAGCCTCTTGCAGAGACAAAGAACAAATGGATATATAGAAAGACAGTTTTATTCAAATTTGCCCCAAAGGAAAGCGATACTGAATTTAAGACACACCCCTTAAGCACAACACATACACCCCCATTGTTTGCATCTGTTACTCTTTTCTCAGCGAACTAAATATAGCTTTCTCATTGTAAAGGCAAATTAATTTGGGGAAAGCAGTTAAGGCAACCTGTCTGAAACAGCAAATGCCATATTGCTTTTCTCCATGGATAGTCGTACCTCAGCTTAGAATATGTATTTTTATGAAGGCAGAGGTAAACAGAAACGCCTGTAAGATAAACTGTTACTTTGCAATATCCTGATAAATTCCTAACATCTTCTTGACCCAGAAAGTTTTGTTAGCTTTTTGTGTGTGTGTGTTTTTGAATCACTATTGACTCTTGGCGACTGCCTGGACCAGCTCTCATAGTATGACACTATAAGCATTAAAACATTGTTTGAATCAACTAATGCTTATTCAGAGTGATTTATTTTTTGTATGATATCCACAATTTTAATTTCTTATATACTTAATGTTATATATATATATATATATATATATATATATATATATATATATGCACTAACATATATCAAAACTTTTCAAGAGTAGACAAATATTTTCTCTCTCTCTCTCTCTCTCTTTTATATTAACTAACTCAGTTTTATATTTTGCTTTGGAAAACTAGTGCTGTTAATTTAAATAAACTTCACAATGCTTAGCATATTGTGCTGAAATTTTCAAAAAAAAAATTTTTTTCTAAACAAAAAGTTTAAACCTGGACATTTAGCTGAAGCAGTTGAACTGAAATAGAAGATAATAGTATAAGAGTGCTACATAGTTAGTTTTAAGTACAATATATTTATTATTACATTGATATTCTACCTTTAATCCAGAAGCTCAAGCAACATATAAGTGCACCCGCCTCCTATTCCCCCCAAAACCAACAGCTTGTGGGAACAGATTGGGCACAGGGCGAAACTAGCTCAAAATTCCACAGTGTGTTTCAGTGGCTAAGTGTGGACTACAACTTTGGTTTCCCCATTACTGGCACAACATCTTAATCATTACACTGTGCTATGTTTCCCTATATGAGTAAGAAGGACTTAATACATAATTGCTTTCTAAAACCTGTATGCAAAATACATATTAATTAATGTAGTCTTTACCACCTACCTGCACTGGCTCCTCCAAAACCCCACTGCAGATGGGGCAAATAAGATCTTCATCAACATCCCCTTGAAAACGTGCTACATCATACCCCATTTCTCATCACCGATGCCAAAACGCTAGGAAAAAAAAAAAAGCAGGAGGAAGAAAAAATATGTATTTGAATTTTCATGACAAGAAGCTCTAAAAGCATGTATTTCAAAAATATTATTTGGGTGGAATCAGTTAGAAATCCTTCATCTAACCAGGTTGCCTGCTTAGCAACTTGATATGGCTGCCTGCTAAGTCACAGATTCACAGAGACGGCTTCAAGCCTCTAAGGAACAGGATGTGGCACGGCAGAGAAAGAACAACTTGATTCAGCCCCGTTTTCTCCGAGATTAATTTTCCACAGTTTTATTAGGCTATTATTACCAGATTAGATATTTCACTCCACACTATGTTATTATTCACTTCTTCATTTGCAGTTTTATATACAATCGTCTTCAACTTACAACCATTCATATAGTGACTGCTTGAAGTTACAATGGTGCTGGAAAAACGGACTTATGACCGTTGCAGTATCCTCATGGTCACATGATCAAAATTCAGATGCTTGGCAAATGGCATATATTTATGATGGCCTGAGGTCACATGATCACCTTTTGAGATCTTCTAGCAAGCAAGGTCAATAGGGAAGCCAGATTCACTTAACAACCGTGTTCCCAACTTAACTGCAGTGATTCACTTAACTGTGGCAAGAAAGGTCATAACATGGGGCAAAACTCACTTAACAACTGTCTTGGTTACTAATGGAAATTTTGAGTTCAACTGTGATTGTAAGTTGAGGACTACCTATATTCCACACCCTTCTTTTCTATTTCTGCAGGAACCAGAATATATAGGCATCTAGTCTCCACCTTAGAACCCATGACTGTATATACTGAAGGGAGAGGAGTTCTGGAAATCTGAAAGTAAACATTTAATGATGGATCAAGGTATTTGTTGCTATCACCTTGCTGAAAAAAGAATTAAATCAAGTTACTCCTAATGTCAGAGAGTGAAATAGACATCTTTGCTCAAGAGAGACTACTTCTCAAGCGTATACATAGCATAAATCTTTCCCCAGAATGCTATCTAGAAAAGTTTGCAAGAGTACATTAGAAGTAGACTTTGCTTGTTCTCTTAGGACTAGCTTGGCACAACTATCTGCACATTTTTTACTAGAATTTGGGACATTTTTGAAAAGCTTGGGATGATTCATTGAATCCTTTTTTTCCTAACATCTCAACAGGATACTGTATATTTTTCTCTGTTCAGTCACCTCTTCCCTTCATCTCTGCTGTCCTCCCCTTTCTCTTTCTTTCCTTTCCCAGTGTTATCCAGTCTTCTTTTTTTGTTTTTGTTTTTCTGTTCTTCTTGTGTGTGAAGGTTATCTTAAATCCTGCTTACCTTCCTCTTGGATAAAAAATGTTACTCATCAATATTTGGGACACTTTTCACTAATTATTTTACACGGCAAAAAAGTTAATGTTGAAGAAAAAAATCAGCCTGGGTGGTCACTTTGAATGAACAATAGAGAAAAAGACATGTACAATCAGCAACACCATTAAGCTCTACTATAGGGTATACAAATCATAGTCAGTCTATTCTGTCTAGAACAATCTGCTTGAACAGAGGACAGCAGCCATTCAAATTACTCAATACTCACAAGTTTTGCAAAGAACATCTAGATGAATTATATTTGAAAGGAAAAGGACGCCTATCGATTTTTTTTTTTTTTACTGAATTGCAAGCCTATATCAATCAAGACCTCACTTTAAAAATGTTCCGATATTAATTATTGGATCTTTATAAAGGCACAATCAGGCCCTGCCAGGCTGTGCTTGTTCCCTGCCACCCCTCATCATGCCCTCCTACATCTGGCAGAAGCCACCCCTGCCCGGCTATGCTTGTGCTGAAGCAGCCACTTATCAACCTACTGGCCTTCTTGCAAGTCACCCAGGATTTGCAACTTCCTGCCAGCATCCCCACTGACTTTGCTTATTGGAAGCCAGAAGCAATAGCACTTAGACTTTTATGCCGCTTTACAGTGCTTCACAGCCCTCTCTAAGTGATTTACAGAGTCAGAATATTTCCCCCAACAATCTGGCTCCTCATTCTACCCACCGCAGAAGGATGAAAGGCTGAGTCAACCTTGAGCCTGGTGAGATGTGAACTGCCAAATTGCTGGCAGCCGGCATCAGCAGAAGTACTGCACTCTAACCACTGCGCCACCGTGGCTCAGAAGGAAATTACAACGAACTCCTTACTTAATGACAGTAACAAGGGACTGCTGGAATTGCTGTCACTAAATGATACAGTCATAATATCGCCTTTTACAACTGCATTGCTTAACAATGGAAATTCCAGTCCAAATTACCTTTGTTAAGAAAGGAATACCTGTCACCTTGCAGAAAATGAAACTTCCCTTATGGTTCAAAGAGAGGACTTTCTTTCATACTACCGTGTTTCCCCGAAAATAAGACCCTGTCTTATATTTTTTTGAACCCTGAAATAAGCGCTTGGCTTTATTGCCATGCGCTCAAAAGCCCTATTGGGCTTATTATCAGGGGATGTCTTATTTTGGGGGAAACAGGGTAGTACGAATTCTTTTTTTTTTTAAATATACTTTTTAATTAGAGATTTTTAAATGGATAAAATTTAAACATGAAACAATATAGAAATGAAATTAAGAAGGAAATAAGAGAGGAAAAATGCAGAAAAAGGAAAATATATTTAAAGAATCAACTTCTGATCTTTATTACAGCAGTTACAAACAAGCTTGGTATCACTCTATCTTAAGATCACATTACTTAGTTCACTTCTTACCATATTTCAACCCTTTCCAATTGACAAATCAAGAAATCATCAATTTATTCCTGTCCATTTTCAACAAAAAGTCCACAAAGGGTTCCAGTGTTTTATAAAAGTACTTATCTTATCCCTGATCAAGCAAGGCAATTTTGTATTGTTTTCTTTTGCAGAGAACTTTACAATAGTTATTTAAGCTTTAGCTTAGTGTTGTCTTAATATTCTTCCTGATGAGGTGCACAACTACGTTCTTTAATACATTTCTTAACTTTTCATTTCTTGTGTTAATTCTGTACAGCTTGTCCATTTCAACATCCATTGATGCCTACTTCCTCCCACTCTAAAAACATTTTTAGGGTTTTAACAATCCTCTCCTTACTATCTTCACTAAATTGTCCTGTAGCTGTTCTCAGTCTCAAGCAGCCTCCATTCTCTTTTAAATTCAGTAGTATCACATTTTCTAAATCTTTTTTTGTCTCTTGGCTTATAATTTCTGTCTCATTTTTACTGCAGATTCTTTAAATTTTTTATTTATCTTTTCTTCTGTATTTAATACACCCAAAGACCAACATTATTCAAAATTTAATAATAAATCATAAACTGTCAACATATTCTGCAGGCAAAACAGAAACTTGACAAAACTCTTATAAGGTGATTTGATAAGAGTTTTGGGGGCTTTTCAGTGTAATTAGCCAGATATTGGCCCAGTGGAAACATACATGATTTGAGGTTCAAGTAAGTTTTTTAAAAAAATGAAAGGCCTTTAACCATAAAAGCCATATTGTTTTTAAATTGAACTTTAAGGGAAACATCAAACCAATTCCCTTTACTGCAGAAGACTAACATGTTCTGATCTTAAAGCAATGCTTGCTGCACATTTTTAGTTCAATATGTAGGAAAATCAAAATGGAGCAGACCCCTCCATACTTAAGTAATTAGTAATTAGATAACTTAATACATAATATGCCACAAATATTGCAAATGCAAAGAAATGCATTCCTAAGAGATATTTTAGTAAGATAAATCTGCAAAACAATTCTAGATCTCAATATCCAAGCTGACTTTCCAGTTGCAATTTATAACCAGTTGCAACTCTTTTCATATGTCAAACTAAAAATTAAGTATTATGTAATTACTCTTTCACATAAAATCAGTTTCTTGGCCTTGAAATGAAAGAAAATATTCTCCCCTCTCCAAAATTTTAAGCTGTTTGGGCTAATTTATGAGTAAGACAAATCCATTACTTACTATAAACTGCATTAAAACTGTTTTCAGGTATCAAATTATATCATATGGCTGTAATTGGTTGTTAACAAAAAGCTACCACAGCTGTATAAAGCTTTTTAACCTGGTCAGCAACAAGATGGAAATGGATTAAAACTGCACGCTACTCCTCTTAGTACAATGCAGAGACCTGGCCACCTTTTAATTATCTTCTACTGAAATATTCTGTACTTCATAGAACATTCATTTCAACTGTTTAGTCTACCTACTGTATAGATGCATAATGCAATATTATAATTGCATGTATGTATTCAAGTGACTATTTGCAAGCTACAAATATGATTAATCACATAAAAATCACAACATATAACTAAAACATTATTTTGAAAATAATATCCATATTTTAATCTACATCAGTATTTATATTCAACCTGCTGTAATCCACTAAAACTTCCTCTGGACAATCCAACAACCTCTAATTCACTCTAACATCTGGCAATTAAAAATTTAGCAATTGTAATTAATCTCAAATTAGCATTAATATTTCTCAATGTGGGGTTGTCAGAGCTGAAAAGCAGAAAAATATATAATAGTTTATCAACACATTGAAATAAATCACATTTATACATCATTCGGAAGAAATAATAAAAAGCTAAGAAGGAAACAAAAAAAAAACCCAGAAGATGTCTTCTACAGCAACAAATACCCAGATAAGCAGGGATTAACACCATACAAACAATCAAGCAGAAAACAATACCCTAATCAAGGAACAACCAAGGAGAAAACCATACCCCCACCAACACTGGCAGGGCAAGCAGCTGTTTATAAATAGGGAGCAAACCCCACACTCACCAATACTGATGATGTTACCTAATTGGGTAATGAGATATCTGCAAGCAAACAATCAAGCTCAGACCATACCAAGGACTCCACAGTTCAACCTTAAGCTACAGTCACCTTCTTCTATTGCAAGTTCATAGAAATGTCTATGTAATTTTCTTGCCAGCAAAAAGACAATAGTTTGCCATTTGCTTTCTTCTGGAATTTTTTAAATTCAATATTAGGCTACAGAGATAATAATCTTTGGCAATTTATATAACTAGATCCAAGTTTGAACAACATCTAAGCCCAGATAAGAGTAACTAGGTGTGGACATCTGCTGAGACTTACTGGTAGCACCCACTTCTCCATGATATCCATAATGAATCTGTTCAGTTAAACACCAGATTTCAACAGAAAATGAGATATACCTATAAAAGCAAACAGTGTATTGACTTCTGGAAGAAACAATTATTTTACCTTCTGCAGCAGAATTTCTTCCTGAATAGCAACAAGACAATGCTGATGTTGCGTTCCTCTTCTGAATTGAACTCTCACCATGGCCCATTTTTCTCTCTCTTCTTGTTCAGATTAAGTCATCATTTATTTTAACAGCCAGAATCTGTGGTCATAAGAGGATAAATAATTTAACAGAAAATTTAAAAAAACAAAACAAATTTATACCAGTATGGCATGTTGTGTTAATGCCTTAATATTTTTAGTAACAGCAGAGCAGAGCAGAGCAGAGCAGTGCACAAAATTATGTAGATTCTCTTCATCGTTTGTTCTATACACGGAATACAAGAATTAATATTCAGCTCATTTCCATACCCTTAGGCAAAGTATATTATTTGCAACATATTTATTATGTCTGACTTATTTGAAACATTTCACAACAGCATATATTTTCAGCCTTCTCTGACACTTAATTCTCCCAATTCTAAGTAGTTTATAGTGAGAAGATGCTTCATGTTTAGCTTTGCTCAGAACATACCCTAAAAATAATACTTGGTGCTTATTTAGCGGCAATAGCAAATAGCAAGAAGATTAAAGGTGATAAAAAAAAAAGCATTCAATATTCACCACACGAGTTTTCATTTCATAATGTTCTGCTTCAAATACTAATGATGCCTCATTTCATATCAACAGATATTTTACCCATTTGATTTAAATAGGCATCTACCATGTTTACCAAAAATTGAAATCACACATATTATAAGAGCTTTTATTTTTAGGTGAAACCCACAATGCCATTATTGAGTCCAGCTACACAGAAGGTTCAGAACATAAGACTAAGAACAGACATTGGCAATTTTGTAATTTTTTCCCTAGAAATCTATTATCCCACTGTGCTGGGAACAGCTAAGACAGGATGCATCATACAACATACGAAGGAGCCTACAGATTCTATTATGAGCAAATGTATAAATATAAATATACACAATACTGTACAAAGGAGCAGCAAAGAAACAAGACAGGGCTTTAAGAGATGAGAAACAACTGTTCTTCACCTGTTTCATGTAAGACACGGCAAGCAGAGACTTGCATCACAACAGTCACAAGCAGGAATTAGATCAGTCAGACTATCACTTTGAAGATATTACCAAAAATAGTTTAATTTTTAGAAGAACAAGAGATATTCACCACGTATATGAGGCTACTTCTTCCTTCCAAACAGATTTTTATCAAAGTTGCCTCACAATCCCTGTTTATTATATGTGATCATAATAGCTCTGATCAAGCCAAGAGAATAATACGCAACCAGAATCTTATTATATGAAATATGATCTTGTTTCTTTGGTTTGGAAAATAGCCTGGGCCTAAAAAACATTTCCTTGGCTATAAACTGCACAACTGAACAAAAGTAGCAACAACCTGCTTTACTCTCATAAACAAGATTTGTTCTTTGCTAACATAGGTTCCTAAACTGAAGTTTGAACATGCCTTGAAATTTTAGAAGAAATGCTCTCCAGATTATCTGCTATACTTTACCAAAGTTGTTACCCACCTTAAGCATCTTGTTGCTACAAGATTCTTCCTCAGATGTTGTTTCATCAAAAAGGCTCTTAAATACTTTTTTGCCACTTCACTGTTTCAGTTCACCATACATGTCCAAGCATTATTCCTTCAGCTGCTCCTTAACTTAATTTTCCAAACCACCCCCACAGCACTCTGTTATTCAACAGAAATTCAACCTCCAGGACCTTAGAATGGAAGGGAAACAGAAACACCTGCCAAGAATACTCAATCCCCACAATATAATTTATTTGGATTCTTCAAGCTGGCTATTGAAGTAATCCCCACAAAAGAGAGGCTTCAATCTCTCTCTTGATTTTCAGCCTTCAATTGCTCTTCTTTACTTGTCTGTAATTCCCTCAATATCATCAAAGCTCATTTCAAAAACATCTTAACCACTGAGCAGCCCCCTACCGTAATACTTTTTCTCTAAAAAATTTACTATACCTCCCCCTAGCCTACACCATCCAAACATCAAATCAGTATAATACTGTTTTTTAGAATTCATGTGTTCATTCAAATCCAGATCTTGAATTGACACGTTTATGAAAAATGCTAATAGTTTTTTTTTGTTGGTAGTTCATCTTGGCTCTAATTTCCTAGGTCATCTGGATCTGGAAGGCAGTATTAACTTAAGGATGATCCTCTCTGTTAGCCTTTGGACATAGATGAGAGTTGTTTCTCTTTTCCCCAAATCTATTCCATTTTTCCAAACCTGATCAGTTTTCTTCCTAAAAACCTGCAACCATGAAACATCAGCAAGAAACCACCATGATGATTAATTTATCACAAATATGATTATTATTAAGCTGAAACTGGCTTCAATGTGTTGGATTATTTGCAAACACATTTCAATTACCAAACTGTCTTCTCCCCAAAACATTGCTAATCTCTTTCATTAGTAATGATTTCATTCTATGTAGGTTGCTTTGTCCTATTATTAAATACTCTAATCTCTTTGGAGGTCATTCTGCTAAAAAATAAAAAGCAGTATTTAAACTGAAAACTATAGAATTGTACAGTCGTATGTACGCACATTATTATTACATCACATTATTCCCTTTCTGGGTAAGCAACACTATACAGAGCATAGAGAAATACTGTGTTTGCCCGAAAATAAGACCCTGCCTTATATTTTTTTGAACCCTGAAATAAGCACTTGGCCTTATTGCCATGTGCTCAAAAGCATGATTGGGCTTATTATCAGGGGATGTCTTATTTTGGGGGAAACAGGGTAATAAGAAAACCTAACTCCAAGAAATTAAGGTGTGACATAACAAAAAGAGAAGATTATTAAAACTAATTACATCAGCATCATTCAATATATCTCTTGATATCTTTTTTTCCTCAAATCATTCATTTCTACAACATTCTTATGCTATATCATATTATTTCCTTTTTGTTTTTTAAAAGTATTCTTTTTTTGGCTCTTATAGTTCATGCAATATCTGATCCATATACCTCTTGCTTTCTATAGTCACACTGCATTTTCCAAATTTTGTTCATTATCACTTTCAAACACCTTCCCAGGTTCATTTGGTTCATTTGGTAAAGTAATTATCTTGTAGTTTTTGCAGTTCCTCTTCTTATCCTTTCCTACCAATAGTCCTCGATTTATGACCAGTTGCTTTGCAACTGTTTGAAATGACCCAAATTCAAAGTTCTGATGGCTCCCTCATCCTGCATTTTGGGCTCTTAGCAACCAGCCAACATTTATAATTGTTTGCAATGTCCTGTTATGTGACATTGGTTTACAATGTTTTTGCCGGAAACCAGCATTTGCTTTCAATTTCTGGCAAAAAAACCCTCCCATTGTGGAAGAGTTCATTTAATGAACACCACCAAAAAAATCATAAAATCAGGTGGGTCACATCATGGGTCGGCACTTAATGAATGACACAAGTTACAACTGTAATTCCAGGCTCAATTACAGTCATAGGTCAAGAACTACCTGTATCTTGAAAAACAACAGCAGCATTCAACAATCAAAAGAAAAAGATAATACTTCTCACAAGTGTAAAGTTGTACAACCATTCCATAAGCATACCATATCCACACTTTCTCCTAATCCTGCAGCACTACCATTTTTAAATATTCTGATAGCACTTACTACTCTTCTTTCATCCATTTTTGGACACTAATATTTAAACTTCATTTTATTTTTACTTTAATAGTTTCAATATTTCCAAACAAATATCTAAAATACTCCTTCCAGCATTTCCAATGTCACTTTTTAAAATTCCCATCCAATCTGCTGGAAGCTCATTTACTTCTTCCAAAGCACTGTTTGATGTTTAATTTTCATCAAAATCACTTTGCATTTCCTCTGCCTCTTTGAATTGTAACTATGCCTTTCTTTGTATTTACGTTCTTTGTAAATACCTCTTTTAGTTTATAGTTATATTGCACCTTTCCCTCATCCTTATTTTTTGCAGTAATCATTCTCTTAGATGTATTACATTCAATCCCCCAAACATCCTTTTCATACTTCTTAGACTAGAGTAACACCGTACACTTCTGTGACACATATAACTATTTCCGTTCTGTTCAAAACATTTTACCCATTCTCTTACTCTATGCTCAATTTCCATTTATTCTGTTGGAAGACGAATCTTCGAACACTTTTTCATATAGGACTCATACTTTCATTCCCGTTTCTTACCTGTCAATTTTTTCTTGAGATCCAGTCTTGACTCAAATACTGGATGTCCTACATTCAAGACTTCTCATCACTGCAGCCTTCACTAATCCTCTCAGTCTTTCATCAAAAACAATAAAAACCAATCATGCTTTTTATTTCTATTTATTCCTTTGCTATGGGCACATATGACTACAATGCATATTCCAAACAGATTTTCTAAACTTTCTAAACAGCCATCATTCTCATCCATAGGCCACCCACCAACCTTTTCTGTATTCTTTCATTTCCATCCATCCGTTTTATTTATTTAACATAGAATAGATTAGGCTGTCAGCCTCAGTCATTGTTCTAACATGACAACAATTCTTACTAACAAGGGCAGTATTGGCACATTTTCGCTAATACAACCTAAACATAACCAAAGCCTGTTTCGCTTCAAGTATGCTAATTTTATTCTATGCAAGCTGCAATCTCTAATCTAAAGACTAACTTTCAAGCCAACATACTGTTAACTACAATTCACTAACCAAAATGCTGATATATTTATTCCCTTTTTGAAAAGAACTCAAAATGGTAGACTCTGATCTTCTATTCCCCTCCATGATAGAGGTCCAGTTCGCCTTTTTTACATCTTCACGTAAGGAGCTTTTCTAAAATTTTGCAAGTAAATTTTGCAAGAATCTTGCCAGGAAAAATATGGTCCTAGTGTTTTTTACCTTAGCTACTGAGCCCCACACTTTCTTCACCAGCCCAACTACACGTGTCTTGGAAATAACCCACCAGCTACTCCCAAATCTCATTCAATTGTACCATTTTGCCGAAGAACAAGTTTAGTTTATTAAGTTTAGTTTATTAAGGCTCAAATGCAGATAGTAGCTGTGGCTAGAAGGGCCTTTGCACAACTTCATGTTCACACCAGTTGCGCCTGTATCGGAATTGTGAGGGCCTCCTGAGCATAGTTACTCCTGCCCTGCTAGTCTCTCAGATTGTTGCAATGTGCTCTACATGAAGCTATCCTTGAAGATTATTCAGAAGCTACAGCTGGTGTAGAATGCAGTTGCATAGAGGATTCTGGGGGCCCTATGGTGGCACATGTAAGATTGCTGTTACATTAGATGCCTGTGTGCCAGTTTGCTTTTGGGTCCAATTCAAGGTATTACATTTAAGACCTTATAATGGCATACATCCAGGGTATCTGTGGAATTATCTCACCCCAATGGACCTAGCTTGCCCCATTAGCTCCAGTGGAATGGGCCAGCTGCAGATGCCATCTGCTAAAGGGTGGGATCAAGAAGAGCCTTTTCCACTGTGATCCAGAGGTGCAAACTACTCCCACCCTTCTGGCTCCCTGCTGAAGGTGGTGGATGGGGTTAGATCTGCGCTGTCTGTCTCATTGGATCTAGTTTCTTATCTAGATTTAAAAAAAAAAAGATTTCTATATTTATCTTTTTACTGTTTGTTAAGTTGCCCAGAGTTGACATACTAATGAGTTGGCATATAAAGTTGATAAATTTTTTAAAATGACCAGTTAGACTGTAACAGGAGGGAGGGCAACATTTATCTCCGTACATCAGGACTTTCTGGTTATAGTTAAAAAGATAACCACGTATCATTAAAAAAAGAAATACGTCGGAGGACAAAACAGAGCTGGAGTTATAAGTTCTGGAAGGTTTGATTTTATTTACTTTTTTAAAAAATTTTATTTTAAATGTGCCTTCTCTTTTCTACAGCAAAACAGAGCTTTCTGGTTTAGATTCAGCCTGTGCACGAAAGAGGGGGTGAGAAGAAAAGCAATCCCATGCTTTACATGGCTTGATGCTTCGCAGATCGTCTCACCAAATTGCACAGGTGGTTGTCCTACCAGATGAACATCCCTTACTTTTTCCTCCGGGAGCTCAAAAGCGGGAGAGAGAGAGAGGCTGCCTTTCCTAGACTAACCCCGTAACAACAACCCTACGAGGTAGGCTGGGCTAAAGAAGGAAAAAAAAAAGAAAAAAAGCGACTGTCGGGGAATTCTGAGGCTGGACGGGAATTCCCTCCACCTCTTTGCTACTCTGGCTTTCCAGGGAGCCTTTCCACTTTTCTCTCGCCGAGCAACCCTCTGCCGCCCGTTCTCGGAACAAAACGCCTCCCCGCCACCGCTGTCCTTCCACTAAAACGGAGGGAGAGAGAGCTGCACTGTCGCACGCCGCCCACCCGCCGCCCTTTCCCAGCACAAGCGTCTCTCGGCACCAACCCACCGACTTGTCCCCTGCCGTCTGCCAGGCATGTCCGCCTCTGAGCCCCTCCGCGCAGCCACCCCCTCCCCAGTCACCCCTCCACCCCCAAAACAAGCGCTCAGCGCTCCCCACCGGAGGCGAGCCCAGCCCTGCAGCGCCTTTTCTCCCCATTCGCATCCAAGCCACAGTCACAGACCTCTTTGGTCTCCCTTCTAGGCACCGGCCGCCGCGCCTCCGTTCTCCCCTCCATCATTCCCCACCTCCCAGACTGCCACCGGAAACACGCCAACCTCAATACGGATGCAGGGAATCCACCCTCCTCGGGCAGCAGGAAACACTGGAGCAGGGTTAAATCCGGGCCGCTCTAGCCACCGAGCCAAAGGGGTGGTTTTTATGGTTGCTTTTTGCTGGCAGACAGGCGGGGTTCGCTCCTCTCCTCGCGCTAAGCCAAACAAAGAGCTCAGAGGAGGATCTTCTGATCTAGCGCGAAGCGGGGAGGAGGCTTGCCAGCCTGCTTGCCTATTGTGTTGCTGCCTCCTTTACGGGGAAGGGTTTGAGATGGGGTGTGATTTCCCCAGGCGCTCCAAACATGCGTTGCATTCACACAATTGATCATCGCACTTCACAAGCCCTCTTCCCTAGACATCATCACATTACCTGATCTTCCAGTAATGCTGGTGGTTGTGTTTTTTTTTTTTTAAAAAAGAGAAAACCGGGTTAAAGGCCAGTGCAAATCAACATTCCTGCACAAAGGCAGAAAAACAGAGGTGTATATTTGCAAAACTAAATCTAACGATTGTCTTTGCTAGAGTAGCCCTTGAGCTCTTGTTGGAAGATATGAGAAACTCAATATTAAAAGAGCAGGGAAATTCCCCTAAAAGAAATAAGCAGAAACCCAGGCAGAGTTTCAGTCCCCACCTTTATCAATGGGCCATTAAGAAGCTGAAGCCACCCTATTTTCCACAACAAAGGAAGGACAAAATTACAGGGGTCTGCAACATCCAACAGATATGGGACACAGGAAAGAAAAACAAACACCCAAAAAGGAAAAGAAATCAAGCCAAAGTAATTTAAACACAAGAGAAAAAGGAGAAAACACAGAAATAGCAAGCTGAATAATTATAGGGAGAACCCAATCACAAACAAAAACAGGATTTCAACACCATAAAACAATCACACACACAAATCAAAGGATTCACACGCCAAATCAAAAGAATTTCAAAAGACTTTAAAGGGTCACATAGAAAATCAAAAGACGTTTTAGGATATAAAAAAAGGTTACTCTTACAGTTCAAGCAGGCTAGACTCGGAACCCTGTGCTTGTATTTGTTTCTTGCCTTCCTATAAACAATAAACTAATTCTGCTCTCAAGCAGCTGACCTCCAATCATTTCGAAGTAATCTCCCAGCCGGGAGTTTTGAATTTAAGAAGGGAAAGCTCTGCTTTCCAACAATCCTTAAAGGGAAAGGCTTCTTTTTCCTTCCAACAATTGGCGACCCAGATGGCCTCCCAGCCAACCGAGCCACTGGACAGGGCCCAGAGATCAAAACCCTCTTTGTCCGGGGAAAATATCTACGGACCCTTCCCGGAGGCATCAGGTAGTAAAGGGAGTCCTTGAGCTTTGCACTCAACAGCTGCTTGAAAGCAGGTGAGTACCGCTTTAAATTTAAAAAGCTGGAACTCTGTGGGGAGTGGAAGTGAGAGAGGAAAGGTGTGTGTGTGTGTGTATGTGGGTTTTACCTGCGGAAAACAGCTGGATCCCACCTCCTCCGTTGATCTCTAGCCGCCCCCCACCCTGCTGCTAGTTCGAAAGAGCAGTGACCGGCAGGATTGGGAAAGCAAGGGGGGGGTCACAGAGTGTGGGACCTTCTGAGGAACGCAAGGAAAAACTGAACAGGCTATGAAGAGAGAAGAGGTTAATAAAAGAAAGGAAAAAGGAAAAAACCCAAAACAAATAAAGGGAACTCCAGTGTATCCCAGAGCAAACCCCAGGATTTTTCAGACAGTGTGAAGTTAAGTTAGTTAGATAGATAGGTAATTGTGAAGTTGTGAAGTTGTAGAGGGGCCCCGTACTCGTCTGTGTTGGGGGCAGCAGGTCCTCCCAGATTCCCGTTTTTAGAGGGATCTGAAAATCAGTAGTGGAAAATTCCCTAACAAGAAGAGGTAGGCATACGCTGTAAGGGAACCAGCGTCCTCTCCAGGCCTTTTTCCTGAAAACTGACGTTGTGTCGCCCAGCTGAACCAAAGTGTGAAACCCCACATCGGATGGGGAAACATGGGAAGTTGCAGCTCAAGGGAGGTAGATGCCCCTTTGGAATGAAAAAGAGAAAAGTGAAGAAGATATGTAAAAAAAAAATTGGGCTTTGCTACGGGATGACACTGGAAGACAAATTTGGCCTGACAGCGGTACTTTTGACTTTAAAATTTTAAAAGCACTTAGACCCCAAATTAAGCCCAGCCAAATTTCCTACTGGTATTGCTGGGCTAAACTAACCAAAGACCTAACTATATGGAAAGATCAAGCTAAAGCAGAAATCCATTTTCTGGAAGGGAAAACTGAGGCAGGAATAACTGAGGGAAAAACATAACGGCTCCCCTGCTGAGCAAACCAGTATCAGGAAGAGCAAGAGGCGAATACAATTACATTCTGACACACACGCCCCTCTCTGCTACAGACCTTGTTATTTGGAAAAAAGACACTCCAACATTCAGGGCAGACCCTCAAGGCAGTAATCCGAACCCTGAAATCTATAATAGAAAGCCACAACCCATCCTAGT